GCCCCTCTGCCCGCGCGCCTCCCCCGTGCTGGGAGGGCGAGGGTGCCGGAGGGAGCGTTGCCGTCCTGCAGCTGGTGGCTACGCGCAGAGCAGCATTTCCACCTACTCTTCTTTTTTTTTTTTGCTCTGCTTTGTTCATGCTTGCTTTTCCCTTAAAACTGCTTGTTTGTGGCTTATATATATATATATTTATTGTATATTTTGTTGTCCCTTCTTTCTCTTAATGCCACTTTCAAACTAGAAATAAAGGGCAATTGCAACTTCTTTAAGATTTGTCAGCCTGAACTGGAGGAGATGCCATGTTAATGTTTTGTGCGCTGCGGGGAAAAAAATGTGAGGGTAATGTGGCTTTGGAACAGAGGGAAGCCTCGATGGATGTGAATGTAATTCCCCTGAGTAGAGAAGGGCAACAAGAGGAGAAAGTGATAGCTGGAGTGGTAACACTGCTTTTGTTCTACTCCTTGAACAGATGTCATATCCTATTTCTAGCAGTACAAAGTTGCTGATTAAAAGTCAATTGCTTTTGTAAGATATCAGCTCATGTTGTTCAAAAAAGGTGTCCTCTTTAGCTCATGAGAGAGATGTTAAAGATCGCCATTTAGATCATCAGATTATGATTTTTTTTTAACTATAGCTTAAACTTGCTTAAAATACAGCTTAAAAATGCTTCTGCGTAGCAGAAGGGCAAATTCTGAACCCTAAATCATCACCATGGATGTTAGATTTGTTTCTTTTATCTACCATGAAAGAAATTAGAAGTCTAACTCTAGAACCTCAGTGTCTTCTGGCTGTCAGGTCCAGTTGTGTTCTCACCGCATCACTGAACAAGGTGCTGGCATGCATCATTTCGTACTCTTCATCCATCCTTCTGTCTGAAAGAAGCCAGGGCACAGGAGAGAAAGCCTAACTGGTCCTGGAGTCTGAATGCTCAGGGTGGCCTGACTGGGATACCAGATACTGCAGTCACAGACAATTAGTCCTAAGCTTAAACCTCATTTCATTATAACTGTCTTATTCCCGCGTCTTAGCTGCTGCTGTGTGTTTATTATTATTATTATTATTTCTTTCTTCTTAATAGACTGGGTTGACATTGCCAATGATCTTTTAAGAAGATGTCGTATAAACCACCAAATAAAGCAGCTCTCGGAATGTGGTGCTGATGTGTTCATTCGTCTTTATGAATCAATTTTAGGAGAGAAAGTACCAGGTAGGAACATTAATTTCTAATGTTGTTAGTTTAACTTGCAGATCTACGAGGGAAAACATTGATTATGATCTATTCTATCTGTGTTTTCTAGATCTCTCACTTGAAATTTGATGGCATGGATTATTTAATAGAGATGTAGAGATTTTTACAGTGTTTGTGGCCTTCTAAAGTTACACACATGAAGATAGTCACCCTCTAAGCAGACTAAGTTATACAGGCCAAATAAGTTTCTTTGCTGCTATAAACTGCGACTGTGAGGAGCATTTACTAGTAAAAATACACTATTTTTTTTTCTAAAATAAACTGTGCCCTGAATTTATACGTAGATACAGTATTTACAAAGGATTTGAATTTGCTTATTTTAAATAAGTGTTAGTGCTGACTTCTGCATAATAAAATGCTTAATATTTGTAGGCTCTTAAGTAATAAGTTAAGATAAGCAGTACTTGTATCACAACAGTGATACCAATTAAGTAAGGCTATACAACCATGTATTTGTATTTGCTTTAGGGTAAACTATGTATGTTTGGAGTGCCAAGACTTCTTGTTCTGGAAGATTTTAACAGCCTTGAATTAACTAGCAGCTAATTGTAGCAGAAGACCAGTTGAATACATACCCCACACTAAAAATAATGCTACTCCAAATTAAGATCAGAACACAGTGCAGTGCTGCTAGTTACTGATATGGGAAGAAAGCTGCTTAAGACAAACTGTAATTCAAATGTGGTGTTCTGAACCGAATTTCAGGGGAGTGTGCGGTGTGTGTGTGTATACACCTGCTAGGAGTAAAGGAGAAAAAATAAACTTACTAGTCTTTCTTTCAGCTGATAAAAATCCTTACCTCTTATTATGATTAGTCTAAGTTTGTAGGTGGTGTCTAATAAGGTTAAATATTAACAATATCACAAATATTTAAAAAAATGCTCTTCTATGTAAATGAAAACTTGAAAGTAGGTTCGTTGAAACATCAACTAACATCAGTTAGAAACATCAGTTTAACAGCAGTTAAATTATCAGCTTAGGTAGCCTATAATATATTGCTTATTTTAAATAGATTTCATAGCTACTCCTAGAAGCCAAGAGGATGA